TTATATATATATATATATAAAAGTATCAATAAGAATGCGTATTATAGAATGCAGTTTTAAATTCTCCTGACTTATCACAAAGTACGAAGCATTTTATTATATTATAGTTAATTTATAGTATATCTATTATAAATAAGATATATATATTTAATTATTTTTAAAATTTCTGAAATTGTAATGCTATTTCTATTTCTATTTATAAATTATAGATCGCATTTACCGAATTTTGTCCGAAATAGTGAGAACTAATAGATTTAGCGCGATATTATTGTATGTATGATTTGACAAACCTTTAGAGAACGTTGAACTCCGATATTGGACATAAAACAGTTATGCATATTGATCGATCATTAGCCACTGGCTTTGGAATACTAATTTAACTAACAATAATTCCGTTCATGTTTTAGGGCTTCCAGCGGCCGCGGACCCGATTCGCCCCTCAGCTCGGATTTGGCGCTTGACAAGCCTCGCTCTATACCATCCCCCAGGTAAATTTATTGAAATTTCAGCATAATTATGCAATACGCTGATTAGTACAAGAAAATATTATCAAATAATGTAAATATTAGGGAAACTATCAAAAGACAAAAAATAAAATCGATCAGAATCATTTTTACTATTAGCTTATATTTTCCAATGTTTTGAGATTTAATTTCAATTGTATTAAATATTGTAAATAATTTTTTTTTCATTCTTTTTAAATCATTATTATTGTATAAAGATAACTTTTATATACTGTTAGAAAAGTAAACATATAACACATTTCATGTTCCAAATTATTCAAATCTTTGGAAGATCAAATTAATTCACTCAAATTTAAATATTCAGTGTAGAGGAGCATTTTCCGATGACTCTGACCTTGACATATGTGGGCAAGGTCATGACCCCGAGTAACCTTCAAAAGGTTTTAGCCTGAGATTATCCTTTGTTAAAAAGTTATTAACAATCAAAGTGCTAATTATGCTTGCTAATTATTGTATCAAAAGTTGAATGATTCTAGATAAGACAACGTTGAAACCCACGTGCAACAGTACAATTATGGAAATCGTCCCTTAAGCAGGGGGGAAGTGGGGTGAGAGTAATCGCTTCGCGTGGCAAGTTAAAACCTATATAGAATAATATTTAATATTGTATGTATAGCAGAAATAATATGTTAATTTTGATATTTTTTTATTAAAAACTTTCATCATCTAACTTTGACCATAGTTGCGTTTCTTCTTACTTATTGTTAGACTTATTGTTAATTTATTCTTGTTAGTTAATTATGACAACCTTGTTTTTATTATTATAAATTTTTTTACGATTGTAACCTATGTTCGTTAAAAATATCAGATTTAACGATACAATGAATAAATGTTTTCTCTCTTTCTCTCATACTTGAAAGTTTGACTTTAGATCTCGACATACTTCCATGTCTTTATTGATCCTACATTTTTGTCGTCTTGTGATGAAAGTGGTGTAGAAAGAAAGATAAGGTAAGAGAACAGAGAGAGAGAGAGAGAGAGAGAGAGAGAGAGAGAGAGAGAGAGTGAGAGAGATGGATACACTGAGAAAAAAATATAGTTAATTTTAATAAATATTTAGTTCAATTTTATTTACAGTAAGTAAATATTTGTTCAGTCATCAATAAAAAAAATGATTGTTAAATCAAATTAACATTTCTTGTATCAAATAAATATATCTTTATATTTAATAAATATTTAGTTATTCAGTATTCAACTAAATATTTATTAAAATTGGTTATTTTTTTTCAGTGTAAGTATTTGCATATACGCATTTGCATATGTGTCGCAAAGAGACTTAAGACTAGATGGATTTAAGACTTGAGAATAATCGTCGAAAGTGGAACGGTTCTTGCTCTGTAATCCCATCGTTGCCGTCGGTCGCGCGGCGCCATTCCCCGGCGAGATTATTGACATTGATACGCAAATGCATCTGTCCGCACAATATCGGTCACCCGTGTCTGCACTCAAATCTCTTGCTATGCTGCGAAGAAAATTGTCAAGCGAATTATCTTTGTCATTGCACTTAAAGTCATTTTTTTTTCGCTTGCACAACGCATACTTGTCGATCTGAAAACGTTTCATGCTACACACGTGAATTAATTGCGACATTTAATTGAGTAATAAAATTATATAAAGCATCTATGTTTATACGAAAGAAATTAAGAGACAAATATCGAACATTTGTTGTACACTCTAAAAAATATTAGATTGGATTTTAAATGTGGTATCTATATGTATAATTTTTACAAGTTAATTTTAATATTATTTATATAACACCAACATGATGTGAATTTAAAAAGAATTTGTATCAATATCAGCGATTTTAAATGATGATCCCATGGTGTTAAATACACATCGTTGATTTGAATTTAAAATCCTTGATATTTCAATACCCGAGATTTTAAATAGTATGGATTAAAATCCTATAGTATTAAATCTACATCTAATCAAGTTGGAGTGTTACAATATACAGTGAGAATTATATAATATATTGTGTGATATTAAATCCATATCGATATTTTTTAAAGTATAATAGAAATAGTATATTTTTATCTTAACACATACATAACATATTAGTTAGGCGATAATATTTCAAGGAAGAGATATTGCACATCAAAAACGTATGTCATAAAATTAATGGTATAGATTTATTATTAGTAATCAGATCTTAAATTGAAAGTCTCTTACAAGAATAAAAAAAAACCAGTATAAATGAATAAATAAAGCTGCCAAGTTACTAAATGTTTATACATTACAGTTAAATAAGAGGAATGTTTGGACTTAACAAAGTTCTCTTTAGCTGCTACAAAAAATTCAATAAACCAAACACATATGACATATTAAGACAGTTTTCGCACACAAAATGATGTTGAAACCATGTAACATCCGACTAGAAATATCATAATTAGGTTGAAGGAATATATTTAAAAAATATATTTTAAAAAATCGTAAAAATATTAAAAAATAAAATTAATTCGTAATTAATTCTTTATTTTCCATGCAAGAATTTCTGTTATAAAAATATAAGATTGTTGTATGCGGTTTCTGTTAGTATAAATGTAGAATCATTCAAGGTAAACGCGCACACTTTTTTGTTGACATTTGATTAATTAAAAGTGTGCAAAATGACTTAAATAAAAAAAAAATGCTTCTTTGTACAGTCTATTTATTATATACTTGTAAAAAAAATTACAATTTATGTATTATCCAACTTCTTTCATATTTTCGCAAAATTAAAAATTATTCCGTAGAGATGAATGTGTATCCATTAGACCTGTATTGCGGGTAAACATGTGCAGTACTGCAGGGCAAAACGTGCTTGGGATAAATGTGCAATCAACATTTTAAGACATATTTTTGACGTTAATTTTAATATAGTTTAGGTTATAGTTTTTTTCAGAGATTTTGATAAAGATATTTATATCAAATTTAAATCATAAACATTCAAAATTACAATAAAAAAATATTGCTTACTAGAGAGACAAATATAGATAACATTTTTACTTAAATTTAAATAATAAATTTTCAATAAATTTTCAAAATTGTAATTAAAAAAT